TAAAATAAAGCTCAGATCAAAGGTGCATTGTGTAACTTTTCTGGTGGAGGGTCCGACAAATGCTTTTCTCCATGTAAAAGTTTTTGCTTTGTCTGGAATGTTTCACAGTATGGTATTACACATTTTTATCTTCATCTAGTCCAAACCAGACCAAGTTACAGGTCAGATCTGTGAGAGATGATCCCCCTCCAGAGTCCTGCACGGGTCGATTTTTGGAGACCCTCACCCGCCCATTAACCTGTGATTATATCAAAGTTAAATCCGCACCCGTTACTCGCCTGTGACTGTGATAAATCGTCCGACAGCCCAGTAGTCCAGGACTAAACCAGGACTAAACCAGGACTGAACCTACACCATGTCATTAGCAGATTATAAATATATACACACTGCAACCACAGAGGCAATCACTAGGACTAAACCAGGACTGAACCAGGTCTGAACCAGGTCTGAACCAGGACTGAATCAGGTCTAAACCGGGACTTCACCAGGTCTAAACCAGGACTAAACCAGCATCATTTGCATAAATATATACATGCCGCAAACACTGAGCCAATCACTAGGACTAAACCAAGTCAAAACCAGGACTAAACCAGGTCAAAACCAGGACTAAACCAGGAGTGCAGCCACTGAGCCGATCACCTCCGCTGATGGTTTTTATGTAATAAAAAGTCACTCTCTGAACCTGGTCCATTGTTCCAGGAAAACACCGGGAAATGGCACTTGTTTCCAGGGCAACGGCCGTCAAGTATTTTTTCTCCCGTTCGTCGTTCATTTGATTCACCTGACCTGCCTGTGTGTAATCACTACCCGCCCGCATACTGCCCGTAAAATTCCAGAACGATAAAAGCCGCCCATTTCAGAAACTATTTGCGGGTACCCATTTGGTTCTAGGTATTTTTGAGCTATAAAACCACCTGTAATTGAATAAATGTAAGGTAGAGCAGTTTCATGTCATCCAGTGGAACATTCCAGGCGGAGCAATGACATTTCCACAGAAACACAGCAGGTGACGGACCCTCAACCAAAAAGTTACATAGTGCAGCTTTAAGTCTAACTTGAGAAAGCTTCTAACACAGCAGTGCCTCCAGTTAGCGTCACACCCCCACGACGTCAGCTGCAAAGTATCAACCGCAGCCAATCCAGGTTTTCCAGCAAAAAAGTGCATCTTATTTGTCCGATACTAGTAGAAATAGCAGAACATTAAAACAACACTCTTAATAATAAACATCTGTAGTATTTTTTCACTAGTGCAACAACAGACTCAACTTAAAAAAATAAAACCTCGCAGGCAATCAAAGCTCTTAAAACACCTAATATCTCTGGCCACAGTAGCAGTAACAGTTAGGAAGGCAACTTAATCATTTGATGCTCCAACACAAACATGCCAACAATATACACATCGCTCTTTTTATAGAAATAAATAGTGGAATTCTCTTCTTCTTTAATACTCTGATGCACATTGAATATAAATTTTTCTAGTACACAATTTCAACACTACTGTTATACATATAATATAAGTCTCTATGTCTTCTTTCATTCAGCTTTGGGAGCTTACAGAGGACCGCCTGTAAACAACAACGTTTTCCACTCATTTGTTAATATCATGTAACATCAACTTTTTATATTTTGGTACTTTTTTGTACAAAGGCTATGTACAGAGAAGCTGATAGCGAAGGCAGGATTGTCGGAAATAAAATAAAACAATAGTAAGTGCTTTGTGTTTTCCCTATTGTGACAGATAGACCTTTCAAGATAGAGAGTACCGGTAGTTTTGAAATGACCAGAACTGGAAGAACATGAAGGAATGGACGACTTACGAATCACATGTACTACGATATGCAGACACACATGTCCTCCTTTAACACCGATTATGAAGCCTATAGAAACAAATGCAAATATTCACTGATCAGGCATAACACTATGACCTCCTATTTAAAAGTCTCATATTAAACAGACCGCACCATGTATTCTGAATATTTGTAAAGTACAGATACATGACAAACGTTTTACTCAATTACAACTACTAGTGCCAAAATTTTACTTAAGTAGAAGTAAAAATACACAGGCATATACTACTCAGTGTTAGGGATGCACTGATCCAGCTTTTCAGTTTCAGTATCGTGACAGGCTACGCAATATTACTTACAATACTTGAGTAGATTACGGGTGTAACGGTCCATGGTTCACGGTTTCGGTACAGGACGGTCGGTTCGGCGCAGTGAGTTCGAGCAATTTGTGTGTGTTTACATTCCGACATTACATGTGCAGCTACACGAAGGCTCGGCTCTTTAATATTCACAAGGGAACTCATCTGTGATTGGGGCAGGAGTGTTTCCCGCAGCGCTTTATAGTTCAGGCGACCGCTTTGACTATGTCCCTCTAAACCACGTGAATGCTCGCAAAACTACGGCCGTTGCGCTGCATTTTACTTTAGGAAAAGTTCTGTTTACTGTTTACAAGGAATTTATTTTTTATAATATTTCATACATTTGTTGCTTATTTGAGAATATTTTATTTAACTTATTAGTATTACCAAGCAGCACTTTGCATTTTATTTTCCCGTTTGTATAATGTTAAAACAATTTGTTGGCTTAATAAACACATAAATAAACAACTGGTGTTGCATTTAGTTCCCATACTGTACCGAAAATGAACCGAACTGAGGTACGTACCAAACCGTGATTTTTGTGTACCGTTACACCCCTAGAGTAGAGGCTAAAAAAGGCAGTTATTTCCATCATATCACACTTGACTTTCTACAAAATTGATCCAATTGTGTTATTTATCCAGCCGTAACTGTTTGTAACAGTAGCAGCTTTGTCAGAATAAACGTTCAAACATTATAAAAAAAAAGGTAGGCTAAAATTTGCCAGTAAATAATCTTATCACGTCCATTCATAGAAACCGATACCCAATCCAGCTAATTTTCCTAGATCAGTTCTGACATTTAATACCAAAATCTATATCGGTGCATCCCTGCTTAAAATACTAGTCATGTTACTATGTTATACAAATTAATGAAACAGTTTAAAGTAATTGAATCATCATTTGTGCCTTGTTTACTGTAATCTGTCCTCATGTTGTTTTCACCTGCATCTGTGTGCGCTCTACAGCATTTTAAACCCCAGACAAGTGCAGGGCCAGAGTCACTATGAATACACCAGGGCCATAGTCTCATGCCTGATTGGTGCACTGTAGCTCTGTAGTAAGTGGCTGATTCAGAAACATGAACAGCTTGTCAGACAGGCAGTGATACATGTGCCGTTAGATTTAAGCCAAGAAAGCTTGTTTTGTATTGCACGTTTTCCACGGTTCTGAACCAAAGTGAGTTGTACCAACTCTCGTCATTAAAGGTGCAGTGTGTACAGTTTATTTGAAGCTGAACAAAGCTCCAAATAAAGATTACATTTTGAAAACATATGAAACATGATATGTCAAACACAAAGTCTCCTACACTACATTCTATAAAAGGCCTCCCAAAACCTAAATTGCACATGTCAATCCCCCGATGTATGTACTAGTAAAGTCTTAAAGGTCCTATAGTACACAAAACTGACTCTTGTGAGCTTTAAGCCATGTTATAATGCTGTTACATCATCAAAAACATGCCCAGAGCTGTTTTGCTTCGTTCACACAGTTTTGAATAATCCTTTATGCTCTGTTCCACCTTGTGATGTCATAAAGTGGTAGCTTTCAACACTTACCTTTTACCTTTTGTTCAGTAGAGATTGGCAATTCCAGATCTGAAATTGTCCAAATGAAGGTGTATGGGGTTACCACATGACATCAAGGTGGAACAGTCTTTTTTGTCCGAGAGAAAAACCTAAATATGTACAATTTGTGCGTTAAACATGCGTGAATGAAACAAAACACAACTCCAGATGCGTTTCTTGATTAGGAAACAACACTATAACTGATCAGAAAAAAGCGTAATATAGTCCCTTTAAAATGTACCTCACTGTAATGGACATCTACAGGACTAGGTTGAGTCACTTGTAAACATATTTGGTTGTAAAAATCCAAGTTCTTCTTAAATGCAGCAATTTGAAGTGTGCACCACCTCTTGTTAATATTGCTACTCATACTCTGTAGTACAGTATTGGACCAAAACAACCCTTATAATATGCACGAAATGTAAGGTATTGTTTGTGTTTTGTGTAGTTGCCAGAAAACACCACCAGAGGGAGCCAGCTGATTGACAAACATGCCCTGAATTGCACTGTTAGATCTGTAGTGGATTAAAATGACTCAAAAAAGACATGACCCTCTGCGTTACGCCTGCTTTTACAAATCCTCTCCTAGTGATGGCACATTGGAGAAAACACTGAAGTGAAGGTGGTGGAAAATGGCACTGATTTCACTATAACTACCCAGTCACATGATTTTAAAAGTTTTTATAATGTTGACGGAGTTGTGTAATGTTCCTGTTATTGTGGAGTTGAAGGTGAGGTTAAACTGCAGCTGTATAGACTTGTTAAATACTGTATTGTCATCCATTGAATAGCTCAAGGAGTCCAGGAAGTAGTGTCTCTCTTCAATCAAATAAATCAAATAAAAGCTGTATTCAGTTTTAATCTCCAAAGTCTCCTTGACCTTGAGAGGAAAACATGAAGAATTCTTAAGAAAGAAAACCTATGTCCAAGATCGGTGCAACTTTTGTAATCTTTTATGATATTGTTGTTGTGTAATGTGTGATGGGATCCTGCCATTGTAATGTTATGAAGGTAATTCCAGATACCAATAATAATGTGTACTGGAGTTGTTCAAAGTTTACAGCGCAGTCTGGGTTTCACGGCTGTCCAGTTTGAAACAGTACCACCTCGATCTTCTTACAAAACCGCTTGAATAGTAGATTTGATCCAATGGTAGCCTTGTTTCTTGTTCTTCATCTTGTAATTGCTGATGTGTTTACAACGCCATGCAGCAGGCTCCGGACAGCTGGGTCACTTGTGATTGAAAGGAGCCAAAATGGCGCCTCTCCAGGACGTGTTCATGAAGTGTTAGCAGATACTGTCAGCTTTCACGTGGAGGATTTTGGAGAAGCCTGGTCTCTTCTTCAAACCCTGAAGAGAATAAAGAGTTTTAACAAATATATCTTCACTGCAATGTCTGTCTATCTACTTACAGACCAACATTAAAAAGTTCAAGATTTTTCGTCACTCATTTCAGAAAGTCAAACCCATATATTATATAGTGAAGCTGTCAAGCCTTTATTTCTTTTGATGATTATGGCTTACAGATAATGCCATGCCATGCCACACTGATGCAGTAATTCAGACAAAAGGAGGCCCAACCAAGTATTGAGTGCATAGAAATGAACAACAAGAGCATTTTTTATTGATCTTATGTAATATTCAAATTTTCTCAGACACTAAATTTTGGGTTTTCATGATCTGTAAACAATATTCATCAAAAAGTCAAGAACTAAAGACCTGAAAGCTTCACTCTATACAGTGTGCCATGAGTCTATATAATATGTGCCTTTGACTTTCTGAAATAAGTGACAAAAAATTCTTATACTTTTTCATGATATTCTAATTTTTGATGGTGTCTATCTGTCTCTCTATCTGTCCATCTATCTGTCCATCTATCTAAGTATCAGTCTATCTATCTATCTGACAGACCGACAGATAGATAGATAAATAGACAGACAGATAGAGAAATCTATCTTCATACAAAATAATATTTGAAAAGAAAAATTGTGAAAGCATTGAAGTGAAAGACAAACATTCAGACAGACAACAGCATGATTAGCAGAGTAAAAAACACGAACATTGTGATTTTAATTTCCCGAATGAAGCAAAACGAACATTACAAATTACAATTGCACTATGTAATTTTTCTGGTGAATTTCCATGGAGACAAGGAGTATGGCATTGCTTAATTATTTCCATGGAGACAAGCAAGAAGTGCCAAGTAGAGGTCAAGTTTGAGGAGAGGTAACTCCACTCACAATACAGTATAAATGCATGTTTTTAAGCAATAAAAACACACGCAATTATAAATTGTAGACCAGGGGTGGGCAATTATTTTTTCCATGGGGTTAGATGAGAAATGCTTAACTCAATTCTGCATAATATTTATTATATTTCTTTATAAAAAAGCAGTAAATAGCATTGTTCTGACAAGCTGGTGACACTGGTAAGAGTTTATGTTATGTATGACTAAGCAATGAAAAAGTAAGGTTGCTTTACAAAAAATGTCATAAAAAACACCTCTAAAACAAAATCAATGCAGCTTTAGTCCATGCATGAGATAAAATGATAACATATGTTTATTTTTTAATTCTAAATAATCTTAAACGGGCCAGTCAGAGTCAACCAATATGGCCTGGGAGTGAACTAATGTGCCCAGGTCTGTTCTAGACTGATATCTTTAATGCCATACTGTGGAAAATTCCAGACTAAGCAAGAACATGTCTTTGGAAATGAGCAGAAATCAGACCCCTCTCCAGATCATTAGGCAATTGATGACAGTTTTGATCAATAAAATGTGAAACTGTCAGTCAAGCAGTAACTTAAAGAGGGGATATTTAACTTTTATGGGGTATTTACTGCTAACACATGACATATTTAGAGCACCATCTTATCTTTTTTATTGTAACAACATATTAACATAAGTTTCAGTTTTCCGTCACTCCCCTTTCAGAGCGTTATCACAACACAATCAGCGTGCATTTCACTAAAGACACTACTGCACATCGTATCAGGTTTGTCAGGTTGCTATGTACAGTTTTGTGTCATGTTTTTTATATATTTATGGAGAATTGTCTTGTGGGAGCATGGGTGACGTAGGCTTGTGGGTGGAGCATTGCGCAGAATCTTACAGCTAAACATGACAAGGTTTGACTCTGACCCAGGAGAGATCGCTAAAATACTCAAACATGGATGACATATGAAACCTCAGGCATGTTTTTTATGATAGAACCACGTCATAACATGATGGAGAGTTAAAAAAAAGAATAAATCAATTTTGCATAACACCCCCTCTTTAAAATTCAAGGCGTAAGTAGAAGAATCCCAGTGTACTTAATGTAATAATCGGCAAACATAGAAATAAATCTTCACAAGCCAGAAGCAGGAATTGGCTAAACTATTGATCTCTGATGTTATTTTTACAAGATGAGCAACAGGTTAAGACAGACTTCCTTCTCCCAATCCTTCGTTCTGAATGAGGAGATAAAACATGAGCCTCTTCTTTTTTAGGCGTATAAAAATAACTCCAAGCTGTTGGGAGCATTTGGAGAGGTTATCTAACTGCTGTAAGTGAGCCATGCTTCTGAATGCAACATCAAAACCAAACACACTCTGACTGACTCACCAAAAACACCAAAAACACCACAACAGAAATAAAACCTGCAATTTCATTCTTTTTCATGTGCCTGTATCTTTGTGCTCTGCAGCAAAACTGGTGGAAGAAGTACTCAGTTTTGTTACTTTAAAATGCACTCTGTAACTTTTCGTGTAGGGGTCTGCCTCTCTTGTCTCTTAGGAGAAGTCATTGCTTTGCCAAGAAAATTCCACAGTATGGTATTAACTTTGTCTGTCTCCATGAAAACAAGCAGGTGGCACAACAAGGCTAAAATCACAGCTCAGATCTGTGGAGAGGCAACCCCGCTCACAGTAATAATGTCTATGTAGGAATGAGCCATAAAAACACTAAATGACCACTAGATATATATGTTTAATGCCATATTCTGAAACATAGCAACAATAATATCTCCATGGCGACAAGTAGGTGGTGGACCCTACCATAAAAGTTACGCAGTGCACTTTAAAAGAAAAGTACAGATACTTAAGAAAAATAAATACTCAAGTAAAAGCATCACATGAAAAAAATCTACTCAAGTAAAAGTATTAAAGCACTTGTTTAAAATGTATTTAAAGAGTATTTTTGAGAGCAAATCTTCAGATGCTGATGTTGTGATTTTGATAAAGATTTGTGGTGTTTTTGTTTTGTTTTTTTCCAACAGAAAAAAAATAATTTATAGTTTTTGTTTTTTTCCTGCTTGTTTTTATTTGTGTATTTTTGTTTGCCCAAACTCTGATTGTGTAGAAAATAACTCAGGCTTTTCAGCTTTTTACTTTTCAGCTCAAAATTGTAATGGAGTAAAAAGTACAGACACATGCTGTCAAATCTAGTGAAGTAAAAGTAAAACATTTCCACTTTAAAATGTACTTAAAGGTGCATTGTGTAACTTTTCAGGTGGAGGGTCCATCAAACGCTTTTCTCCATGGAGATGTTATTGCTTTGTCTTGAACGTTTCACAATATGGCATTAAACCTTTCTATGTTCATGGAGACCAACCCAAACCAAGTAACAGATCTGAAGAGAGGCAACCCCACTCAATGTCAGAATGCCTGTTTTTCTAGGTATTTTGAGCTATAAAACAACCTGTAATTTAATAAATGAAAGGTAGAGCTGTTTAATGTCATACTGTGGAACATTTCAGGCAGAGCAATAACATTTCCATGGAGAAAAGCACCTTTAAGTACAGTACTTCACTACTTTTACTCCATTACATTCCACTCCTGACTACAAATGACCCACAAGTCAAACATGTCATCCCAAAACAGCACGTATGCAGATTGAGTCATGCTTAAACAGTGAGTAGCTGTGGTAAAAATAGACGGGTTTGACTGTATGGGCTGAAATACTGGTGAAAGTACAGACATGTGGATGGTGTTATGCAAAACACTGGGGACACTTTCACTATATAAAGAAACATTGTGTGGGTTTGGGTGTAAGACCTTCCTGGTTTGTTTTGTAAAGCTTTGAACACAGCGGAGGAATATATGCCTTGAAATATTACATAAGGAACTGGCGAGAGCAGCTGTAAATTAAAAGAGTGCTCTGGGCCTTTAATTCATCTCGTATTACTGCTGACATGTTGCTAGTCAATATGACATTTGACTTAGATTTAAAACTTTATTTATCCTAAAGGGCAATTCATGTGTAGCTCCACAGGCCAGAGTTAAAACATTTGCTGTACACTATACCAGTCAAAAGTCTGGATACACCTTTTTTTCATTGTATTTTTTAATTTAAGTTTACCACTTTCTACATTTTACATACAAACAGGAGACGTCAAATATATGAAGCAAGATAATATGGAATTCTGAAGTAAAGAAAAATGTTACTCAACAATAAAAAATAAAAAAAAATTATATCTATCTATCTATCTATCTATATATAATATATATATAAATTAATTACTTTATATATATAATTTTTTTTTTTATTGTTAATATAATATATATATATATATATATATATATATATATATATATATATATATATATATATATATATATATATATATATATATATATATATATATATATATTCTGTATTCTAATTCTTAAAGTAGCCACTGTAGCTTTCTTTGCTTTGTGGATAACACTACAAACACTTGACCTTCTCTCACTGAGCTTCTTGATCTCAGTCTCCTGAAATAGTTTTCACTTCACAGATGTGACTTGTCAGGGTCAAGAAATGCTAAAAGTGCAAACCAGAGTTCAACGCAAAAGGTGGCTATTTTTAAAAATCTAAAATGTAAAATTATTTCATGATTTGAGTTATCTTGAGTCTATTTTTTGTTTACTTCATTGTATGTGCATTTGCAGTTTTCAGCAAGAATCTACAATGTAAATAATCATGAAAATAAAGAACCATAAATGAAAAGGTTTGTCCAAAATTTTGACTGGTAGAGCAGATTATTTTCCAAACTACAGCTGTTACAATTTTACTTTCTTGGAGCATGATTTCTGTATATATTTCTCACTTTACTGTGAATAGACAATCTGTGAAACTCATATAATTCTAAGTCCCAATAGTGAATAGTAATGATAAAGGCCTTGTGGTTTTACCTGGAGTTTATTCACCATCTCTTCAAATAGTTTTCTGGCCTCGGGACTGTTGGGATCCTCAAAGTAATCTTCTATTCCAATCTGCACCACAATGGACTTCAGGCTGCGGCAAACACCTGTAAAACAAAACAAAAAACATGGTTCATGGAAAAAAACATTACGTCTTGTTTTGGGTAAATCTTTATCATAACTACACTTTTAATAGCCCTAATAAAGCATGTACAAACACTCAATACATGTTTAATAATTATTAACTTAATTAGTAACAATAAACAGCAGGTGGAATATTTTTAAATAGTCAACTGGTTAGTGAGTTTATTTGTTTATTTATCGGGGACAATGCACTCACACACATTGAGCTACACAAAGAGGTCATATGTCTCCACCTTCAGTCCCTGGACAGGTTAATGTCATAAATGGCGTACATGACAATACAATAAAATAAAATGTATATTAATGCAATCATTCATCCGGTCAATATCAGTAAGTAAAACTAGTCCCATTCAGTCTAAGTCATCACCTCCATATACTATTTACATATTTACAGTTCATATTGCTGCATTGATATAGGACAGATTGACATGTACAGGTTTGTTTGGTAAACACTGCAAACATTTTATAACATTTCTAAATAATACCTAATATTAACCCTAACTCCAAACTAACCACTATCTGAAACTGTCCCTGTCTAATCCCTCAGTCGTACATATGGAAGTGTTGACAGGACACTGCCTTATATCTGTGTGAAGGAGGAGCTACACTGAAACTAACTCACCTTTGTTTACAGTATCTGTTGTTGCTTAAGTCTATAGAACTACACTAAAGGTGAGCTGTCCCTGAGTCACATTTTGCATCATTCAGGCCTCTGATGGGTAAGAACTAAAGAAGCCACTTGGAATGGGCGGTGAAACGACTTCACTCTAAAACTTTGATCCAGTTGAGAGAATTAAAATGCCTATGACAGGTTGGACTACTCATCTGACTAAAACACAGTTAATATATTTATATTTTAAAAATCCACGTTGGCATTTTTTTAAGTTTAAAGAGCCACTAAACACCAAGACCACTTTGTGCATATTTGTAAAAAATTTGACTTTTGGGTCAAACGCTGTGTCTGTATCGACTTCTTTAAGGTCAACTATGGCCACTACATTTGAATTTACGGTTTGGACAAACGGCAATGAGTCAGCTGCATGGTTACTGCTCTGGAGAATTTTTCAGATATTCAGATCTTAGAGGCACAGTAAAGTTTCAGGAGGATGTTTAATAAACCATTAAAATTTTACTTCCTGATCCTGACGTAAAATTAGGGAAATCCATGACTGTTACCTAGCAACCGTTAGAAAATAATATTTAATCTGCCCTGAAGGGAATTTATTTATAGAGATTTTACCGGTTAGTTTTTTTTAAATTTTTTTTTTTATTTTAAGCCTCAATCTAAATTTATTGTAATTCAGTGTATATTATAAATGTGTAGTCTGTCACCATTATTGTTCTTGCACTCTCTCACTTTCTGTTCAAAGTTTTTTTTTTTTTATAATAAAAATTGCTTCTTGATTGGTATACAACAATAATTTATATTTACAACAGATATGTCCCACTAAATTAAGTCAAAATTTGAGAATCATTAAACCCTGTCATTCACACTTTACATTTTCCTTTGCCAGACTCTGTAGCTGTTTACGTCCACAGCTCCTCTGCCCGGTGCCATCGTGAGCTATCTGAGATCTCCAGTGGTTCCACAGATAGTAACACAGAGGTACAGTTTGCACTCACTGTTGAAGTGCAGCAGAGCTTTGGGGGTCACCGGGGTCGAAGTGAGCACCAGCATCTCCAGCCCCTTCAGCCCCTCTCTGCACACCTCTGCTGCCACCTCCTGGTTCACCTCGCTCACATGGTCCAGCTCCAGCACCTGCAGCCGCATGCAGTTCCGGGCTGTGAACGGAACAAAAATACAAAAAGGATTAGTGTTTCTCATACTGTGGTACACGCACAGCTCTTCAGTTTATGAGTTTGTCTAATTTAGAGTTCATTGTATATAATTATTAAATTAATTTCTTATTTAGAATTGCATTGGAAATTATGTAGTCCACTTTTTAGCTCTGATTAGACCTGGAATAGTGCTGCTAATTACTTGATTTAAATCTGGTGGTACTCGGAAACCAAACCTTATCTTTGAACCACTGGCTTGGATGGAATAGTTTAAATAAATAAATAAATAAAAATAAGAGAATGTATAGAATTGAACAATGTTTATGTTCACAAAATTATGATTAAAAGCTATTTTTATTTGTTTTTTATGTAGACAAAATAATTAAAACAATAAAAATGTGATTAATCAATAAAATTATATTGCCTACTTTATATTTTATATTACTATTCACTATCATATAACTTTCTTTAAATGATTTTGACTGACTTACCCAGTGATGCCAGCCCTTGAATGCCACATCCAGCCCCGCCCACTCCCAGAGCTCGGAGGTGAGGCCAACATCGGCCGATAGTTTGCAGGCAGCGATTACTGAAGCGGGCGGGCTGTTGGCTGTCGACACAGTGGTCTTATCACTAAAACATTTTATGAAAACACTAATCGACAAGGTATGATAGTGATCATCATAGATTATTACCATGGATGTAGTGGTGCCACCTGTAGGGAGATGATGTCTCTGCAGCCTGCCCCCAGTGCCCAGATGACCTCCTGACCGACCGGGTCTGTGGCACTCCTGCAACACAACATGAGCACTTTAAACTCAAACATGAACAATACTGTGATAGTACTCTTCCTAAGTATGTTTGTCTAATTTAGATTTTTCTGAAATTTATGATGTAATGCTAATTGATATTTTGCAGCTGATGCAATCAACATTTCCTGAGAGTGTGATGTTATATTTGTAGGCACTGCACTTTCTGAGGCTTGTGAGACTTTAATCTGATCTTTATTTTAACACAATCTGACCAGAAAGAACTGATTTAGCTGGAACTACAACAGGTGAGATGATTTGTGCTATTGAAAATCAAACACCTGAACAGGACCTATCGCATGGATCAGAGACTCTTGAAAATTAGTTGTCCATTTTGTATCTTGTATTATTTCTTTTGGATGATTCTGAAATTTATTTGACAGTGTGTGCATTGTGCATAACGCAGATGAAAGTGTTTGTACCTGTAGGTGACGGCCTGCAGGGCTCGGCAGTAGCAGCTGGCCAACCAGAGGGAGCGGTCAGTCAGGAGGTTAGGGCAGTGAGAGATCTTCAGTATGAGGAGGCTGCTCCCTGTGGATTTTAACAAGGCCTCCAGACCCTCCTCCAGACAACCACTGCATCAACACAATATCAATTTATACAAACACAGTAAACATGCTGTGTACACATCAAATCCCTGCCTGAGTTTGACATTTGAGTGACGTGAGAGATGTACACAAGACTAGTATTGAATATAAAGAACAGAAATCTTCAAGAGGTTGCACTCATGTGACAGCACAATCTTCTATAAGCCCGATAGTCTAAACTGGAGCTGGAGGACACGTCAGAATTCTATGATGAAATTTGCTGCCAGCACAAGTAAACAAAACAAAGAACACTTCATTCACAATAGGCTGTGATTGATGCCTGTTCAAATGAGTCATAAGATTAATATGGCAAGTTTGTGGAGCTAGTCCCCGACAAATAATGATAAGGTTCAACATTTGTGATTCATAGTTTTGAATATAGCTCTCAAAAACAGGACATTTCCAATAGAGTGGAACATGAAATAAAAAAAAAAAACAGTCTAGATTTTATTAAAGGTTTAACTTTGTGCTTGTTTGTACTGTCTTGCGTCTGTAGCTCACCGTGTGCTTTTAAGATAGTCCTCCTTGCTCTCCTTTTTACCTCTCTGTCTCGGCTTAAGGTTTTGTAGAATAAGGGAATGTGTCTGAGTGCACCACTGAGACAATGTGCAAAGGAACTAGAGGAGAACAAAACAGACATGAAACTACATTAGTATTTCAGTCCAAGAAAAAAAAAAAAAAAGGCTGCATTTAAGTAAGAATCTACCTTGGAAGAAATACGAGCATTCTCTAGCAGCACTCTGGTCCACACGGCCGGATGACGAGCTACAAACTTCCAGTCTCTGCAGACCTCAGCAGCTCGGAGCAGGGTTTTTGTGTCCAGATACGTGAAGATACAGAAGAGGGCAGCTCTCATCTTCAGGACCTCGGGACTTATGACTTCGTTGGATTTGGAGGGGCTCTTGGCGTGGCGGCACGGTTTGCTGTAGATGGGCTCAGGTCGACCTATGGAGAAAAATGTAAAGCGTGAAATATGAAACGAAGTCTATAAATGGAGGAGGGTTCAGAAAGTGCACAGTGAAATAGAGCACTCAAAATGTGGCATGGATCTTTTCCCTGTAATGTTTTTCATTCATACCAATTGCATATATATATATATATATATATATATATATATATATATATATATATATATATATATATATATATATATATATATATATATATATATATATATATATATATATATATATATATATATGATTTTTCAAAATAGCATGATCCAATCCAACTTTATTTGTATAGCACATTTTAAAAACACAAAGTCTCCAAAGTGCTGCACAGAGTAGGCACAATATTAAATACACATTAAATAAAATAAAGCATAAAATAAATAAATAAGCAAGTCAATAAAAACATAAAAAAAATACTAAAATTTGCAAATAGAAAAATAGCAAATAAAATCAATAAAAGACAGTCAGAGGACCACATGATTCCCATGCCATGTTAAAAGCCAGTGAGTAAAAGTGTGTTTTTAACCCAGACATAAAAGAATGAACAGAAGGAGCGCTCTTAATGTGAGGGGGGAGAGCGTTCCAGAGTTTGGGGCCAACCACAGAAAAGGCCCAGTCCCCTTGACTTTTGAGTCTCGTTTTTGGGACGACAAGCTGGAGCTGGCCCTCAGACCTCAGAGTGAGCGAAGAAGTGCAGGAACAATGAGGTCTGAAGGCCAGTCCATGAAAATCAACTCTAAAATCAATGGGGAGCCAGTGCAATGAGGATAAAACAGGTGTAATGTGTTCTCTACGACATGTGCCAGTTAAAAGACATGCTGCAGAATTTTTGGACTCACTCTAAGCATGACAGGTTCGCTTGGCTGATACCAGTTTACAGCGCATTACAGTAGTCAAGACGTGTAGAGATAAAAGCATGGATCACTCGCTCCAAATGGCTAAAAGATAAAACTGTTATCTCATGTTTGTCACAAAAATATCCAGTATAAACCAATTTGAGATGCACGTCATTTGTGTATTCTATTTACTGTGTTGTGTATCTTGACTCTTTTGCCGACACATGATATTGTAAAGGTACATGTTTTAAATGAATAAATAATAATGATGCATTAGTCCTACTGATACTTTGCAGCTGATGTCAACATTCTCTGTCAGTGTGACGCTAACTAAAGGCACTACTCTGCCTAAAGCTCTGTTACTCAAGTTAGACTTTAATCTGAGCTTTGTTCATTTTTCTTAACATAGAAGCAAATTAACTAATATGTCTACCATGAAAATTCAAAATTGGTGTTTATTTTTTGTTACAATTAACTTTTAGTTCTGTGATTAAAACCTGTGACATGAGGAACCAGGACTGAACCAGGACTAAAACAGGTCTAAACCAGGTCTAAATCAAAACTAAACCAGAACTAAACTAGGACTGAGTGTTGGAATAGGCCCAGAGGTGCGCCCGTGTAGACTGTCGGGTGACCAGAGGCGAAAGGACCGGTGCAGAGCTCATTGCCCCAAGAGGATAAACGCAGCCGTCGCATGATACCGCTTTGTAGACACTTTGCTCTGTGGGCTCTGGGTTCTCTTTCTCTCTCTCTCTCAAGTCCAACATTAGTCCTGGTTTAGTCCTGGTTTAGACCTGGTTTAGATCTGGTTTAGATCTGGTTTAGTCTTGATTCAGTCCTGGTTCAGTCCTGGTTTAGTGCTGGTTAAGTCCTGGTGTAGTCCTGGTTTAGTCCTGTTTCAGTACTGATTCAGTCCTGGTTTAGTCCTCCTGGTTCAGTCACGAATTGCATACACCCACTTAAAAAATCCCCACTACACCAGTTAAGCGAGTAGAGTTGAATTAGAAGGATGTCAGTTCTGGGTCCAGCTGGCAACTTCACAGCAACAATCTCTTTCATGGATAACAAACAGAAAATATATAAATAATATAAAGACTAATGAGTAGTATTTGCCCTTCTCCTTTTCTCAGGAAGCTATAATTCTCTTGTTGATCACGTGGCAGCACCATTCTCCTCCAGTCTTCCTCCAGCCCAGATTATATAAATGTCTTCCTGGTGCCATCTTGGTATGTTCTGTTGCTATATATCTTCTGCTCCCGTGTGTCCAATCCAAGCCTGCCTTATTCCTCCGGCGAGAACCCAGATGAGTCACTCCTCTTTGGCCTTGGACGCTGTCTGCTAGAAACCATCAGGGCTATGAACCATTTCTTACACGCTCTTATCCGCTCTCACTTTTTTTTTTTTTCCCGTTTTCTTCATACACACACACACCACCTACGCTCAAGACTGCCAAATGAGTGTTGCATGCTCGGAAAAAAATAACATGCACACATACGTACCATCTGATGAGTTTTGGCCCATTACGAAACAACTACATCCACGCCAGTAGCATGTTGTAACACTATACACGTCTTCCGTTAAAGGTGTGTAACTTTTCTAGTAGAGGTCCCGCAATCTGCTTGTCTCCATGGAGATGTTATTTTTTTTTTGCCTGGGATGATCCACAATTTGGCATTAAACTCATCTAACTCCACAGAAACAAACTGATGCCACCGTGTTACCAGGTCATGTTACGTTACTTCCAGTATGTAGTGTGCAAAGTAGTGCACAATAAGCCATACGGCAGGTGGGTGAATGGCGGTGAGTTTGAGCGTTTTTGGCAGAAAGCAGTGAGAGAGATGTACAATCTGTGAAGGATCTGAAAAAACGTTAGCATTCGGACTTGGCCGCAATACAAAAGAACTGATCAATTAGAAACACTGTGAGACGACAGTAGCCAAAAAGACGCTCAAAAATCTTAAAGCTCATGTACAAAGCTGTGATGGATATTATTGCTAAATATAGTGATTGTTAAAGGTCCTCTGTTATGCAAAATGGATTCTTGTGAGCTTTAAGCCATGTTATAATGCCTTCACCTCCTCAAAAACATACTCAGAGCTGTGTTTTGTTGTTTGAGTAATCCTGGATTATTAGACTGCCTGCATTCACAAAATTCTTGTCATGTAATGGTATTTTTCAACTTAACAGCGACCGTTTACCTTTTGTTCAGAAGAGATTGGCAATTCCAAGGCTGAAATCATCCAAGTTATGTGTGTTATTGTTATTAAATTATTTTTCAGTTTGAGAAAAGAACTCAGAGCCTAAATATGGAAGATTTGTGTCTGAATGAATTTGTGTGTGAATGAAACAAAACATAACAACAAAAACAAATCAAGGTATGTTTTTGACGAGGAAACAACATTATCAGATCTGAAAAAAGAGTAATATGCACAATTTAAATGGTCTATGAAAATGTGAAAATAGATCAGCATGTCAGAGAGTATTACAAAATTAGAATCCTCTCGCTTTACCGTCCATCATATAATCATATGACAAGATTATTCGTGAAGGTGCATGCAATTTAGACTAATTGGGATGCGAGTGGGCTTTAATGAGATGTACCATATGACCAAAACATCAGTCTCTCATCCATAATTAATCACTCAGACAGTTGTAATTAGACTACTTCTTGTCAGAAAAGATCACCCCAACCTAAAATGATCTCTAAACAGATCATTTTAGCAGGGGATAAAATTAATGTTTATGAAATCAGCTGCAAAGTATCTATTCTGGGGTAGTATGCTCTGATATAACAGTGTTTTTACATACAGTATTTGAGTAGTAGACTTACCTACAGTATACTGGGGTAGTATGGGGTGTGGTAACAGCAGTATTACTTATAAGGGTCACAGTGTCACTTTTTTAAAATGCATTTTTACACCCTCAAGGCACTGAAAGCGCTTTACATCAAGGAACCACTCACCCATTCAAACACACACACACTAGGGCAAGACGACAATCATTTATGGGAGCTGGAATCACACCACCAACCTGTAGGCCATTGGATCTGACCACTCAACCAATAATGTTTATGTCGAGAGTGGGATTTAAACTGCCAACCTTCAGCTCAGTGCAAAAATACTCCACCGACTGAGCTGCTGTCGCCTGTATTGGTGTAGTATGCCCTAACATAAGTGTTGGGGTAGTAGTCTTACCTATACTTGCTCTATTCACGCTTACATCACAAACCAGGAAGACGTTTGGAAAGATGTGATGACAACTTCCGGTGTAGTTACCGACACTGGGCTCGCCGACCGATTGTGATAAAACCCATTGAAGTAAATGTCATCAGCGATAAAATGAAGACTGCATACGTATGTCCTGTTTGGAATCATCTTGAATTTGGTGCCTCATCTCTTCTAATCGCATGTACCCAGTGCACGCGGAGTTGTGTGTCAGTGGGGAAATTATGAAAACTGAGGTATGTTTGTAATGGTTGATTAGCCGAACATAACAGAACTCCATAATGACATGTAGATGAAGAAAACTGTACCAGGGAAGTTGTAATTGCATCTTTCCAAAGGTCTTCCTGGATTTTGACGTAAGTGTGAATAGAGCCTACACTCTGACATAAGTGTAGTTTTACTTATATTGGGGTAGTAGTCTTACCAAAATTACAGGTCAAAAGTTTTAGAACACCCTAATTTTTCCAGTTATTTATTGTAATTCAAGTCGTGCAACTCCAATAAATAGCTTGAGAGGGCACAAAGGTAAGTACTGAACAGCCAGAGGTTAAAAAAAAAGACAAAAGAACAAAACACAAGTCCAAGCTCTGCCAAAACTACTGCAGGGTAAAAAGAACAAGATGGTAAACTTGAAAACATGGAGTGTCCAGCACAGTCACCAGACTTAAACCCCATCGAGCTGGTTTGGGATGAACTGAACAGAAGAGTGAAAGCCAAGTAACCTACAAGTGCCACACATTTATGGGAACTTCTGCAACAGATTTGGGAAAAACTTTCTGAAGAATATTTGATTTCTATTGTAAAAAGAACAAGCCACAAGTGTGTTCATCTGTTATATCTGCCAAAGGTAGACAAGTTCATGAATCAAACATTTAGAATATGTTTTGGTCAACAGTAAACAGTAAAGAGTAAAAAACTGGAAAAAGCGTGGTGTTCTAAAACTTTTGACCGGTAGTGTATTTTAAAGTAGTATGCTCTGGCACAGTAGTTTTACTTGTTGGGGTAGTGTAGTAGACATACCTATATTGGGGTAGTATGCTCTGACATGATGGGGGTATGGGGGTGCAGACTGCTGGACTTCCGCCACAGCTCTCCTCTCCTGCTCCCACATCTCCTCCGACTCGGTGGTCCGAGACCCCACATCAGACACGTCGCCCTCCTCTCCCTCACTGTTCCTGTACGGGCGCCTCTGCCAGTTCTGAATGGCCTGTTTCCGCAGACCCCAGTTTCTGGACGCCCCGCCGCAGGAGGGGGAGCGCTCGTAGCCCCCTCCCTCTCCCAGCCTGCACTGCATGTGGTAGTACTGCGTCTCCGGACAGTCCTCCATCGGGTGCATCTCCACGCTGTCACTGTCATAACCCCCAGAGCCCTGTGACACCGACTTCATCCGCACGGACGCTCTGAAACATAAAAAAAGAAAATAAGAATAAGAATAATAGTACATTTTGTCTATATAATGCTCAAAGACGCTTCTGATACAAATGCAAAACAGATCAGACAAAATATAGGCATGATTATAAAAGCAAGTTAAACAAATATGAAACATTTAACATTAAAGAAGACCTATTGTGCTTGTGTCTGTTGTATAGTTAAAATGTGTGACACCCATGGACCATTATGTTATAATTTGGACATTTAAAATCACAATATTGATCTGAAAAAACTCAATAAAAGAAACAAATTGACCGACTTCCGCGTTAGAAAATGGCAGTCCTCAGTGAGTAAGAGCGGTGCTGTGGATCACACTAGTGAGTCGCCGATTTTTTTTTTCATTTGTCCCAAAATGACTACGCGACGCTGCCAAATCCTACGTGTATCACAGATAAAGAAAATTTAATTGGTGCCAAACCTCTACTGAAAAAAGGTAAAAGGTAGCTGTTAACTTAAAAACTACCTCTATAAGACATCACAAGGTGGAACAGAGCATTTTGAGTTTTGGAGATGTAGACAGACTAATAATAAATGGTAAAGATCGGCAGCTTTATGTAAAAAAATACATACAAAGTGCAAATATTCGATAACAAATTTTACTACTGCTTCAAACATTACAACTTTACTATACCCAGCATAAATAAAACTAAGAGACCTTTTTATTTGCAACAACAATCTCATATTATTTCATGTTATATCAGTTTTTCTCCTCTGTTGCGTTGCGCTGGATTCTTGATTTAAATTGCTCATTGATTAAATTTCATCTGCTCCACAGCGTGCGAAATACTCAATCAGGAAATGGGAAATTGATACTAGATTTGACAACGTGGGATGCCCCAGGCCTGTTATGAGACAAAAATAGACTACAATAAGCAATGGCATTTCAAAAGATTAAAGGTCCTATATTACGCAAAATGGACTCTTGTGAGCTTTCAGCCACGTTAGAATAATGTTTCCTCCTCGAAAACATACCTGGAGTTCTGTTTTGTTTCATTTACACATGTTTGAGAAATACTGCATTGTTACGGCCCCAGCTTGAGAGACCGTAATAAAGAAAGAGGAACACAACAACAGCGACGGTTTAAGCTCTCTGCTGGGGCATTTATTAATAAGTTACAATAAATATGTGCAAATAGTGCTAAGCTGCGTTGTGGCAATCGGCTGATGGTGTGGTCGGGTGGAGTCGAGCCAGAGGAGCAGCCATGGGTGTAGGAGGCGGGTCCCTTTTATAAATGGCTGGATGCGCTGGGCCATAATACATCCGGGTCACCTCAAAATAGAATTATAATTAATACAAACACGGCACAACGGGGGTCGCGACATTCATTAATGGGCTGTCTGTATCCCCAAAGCTCAAAATAATCTGTTCCACCTTGTGCTGTCATGTTGTGGTAATTTCCAGTGAGATCATTTTACCTTTAGGTCAGTAGAAATGGGAAATCCCAGGGCTGAAATTATCCAAATGATCCTAGTGAAGGTGTATGGAGTTTAAAAACACAGTAGAGCACATCCTGTATTACCAGGCAGGAATGTTTTCAGTTTGAGAGAAGAACTCAACCTAAACATACATTGTGCGTTAAACATGTGAATGCAAATCAAATGAAACAGGAAACACACACCAAGGTTCTTGTAGAGGTGCAAATGCAAGGAAAATAAAAGTGAAAAAATGCATAGCTCATTCAGATGGCCGACGTCCAAAAGCTTTTTTTTATTTCTAAATAACGTTTTGGCAAAAAAGCCTTTGTCAGATCATTTTTCTTGCTTTGGACCACATTATGCAGCATGTGAATGAAACAAAACACAACTCCTGGTATGTTTTAATAAGTAAACAACATTATAACATCAGATCAGAAAATAGCGCAATATGGGCCCTTTAATGGAACACGGAGGCCTATTTATATCCACAAGGAAAATGTTTAAATAATCATAGCTAAAACATACAAACAAGAATCTCACTGTTTACTTTTATCTTTAATGAGCAAAGTCTATCCATGTGCAAAAAAGGAAGTAATCAAATATTTATTATACAGTATCACAGTGAGTCTCTGCACTGAAATGAAATGAAATAAGGATGCTCAAAACATAGAAAGCGTTCCAACAACTTAACCGGGGGCAAAGACAAATCTGAGCTTCATTACTCTCTAATTAGGTGGTAGAGAAAAAGTCATGCACCAGAACTAAAGACACTTCATTAAATTGCCTGGTGTTAAATACAATTAAGACATTAATGGTATGAAATCATCGCCACCATGAGCTGTATACTGGTTTATTAAGTGTTTTTATAGGAAGCAAAGGCACAGCTGGGTAAATCTGCTGCAATTATCATTAACATCTTTAGCGAAGTAGACGTATTAAGTGTACAGAATCATAATGACAGTGGTGGAAGAAGTACTCAATTTAGTTACTTAAATAAAAGTACAGATACTACAGCAAAAAAAAAGTAAAAGTATCACCTGAAAAATCTACTTAAGTAAAAGTTACCCTTTTAAAAATGTACTTAAAGAGTATAAAGTAAAAGTATTTCATGCAGATTTTGAGATCTAATAAAGCTTCAAATGTACAGATTTTTATACAGATTGGTATTGAATTTTGAAATTGAATTTTTTGAAACAATTGAATTAATCTTTTTTGTTTGTTTGTTTTTATTTGTATTTTTGTTTGCTCATAATATGAAAGTGTTAAACTAAACCCTCGGCTTTTTCAGAAGGGTCTCAAACTCTAATAAAAATACTTATACTTCCTGTAAAAGTCCCTCCAGTCCTGTTAAAAAAATGTAGTGGAGTAGAAAGTACTGATACCTGTTCACAAATGCTATGAAGGAAAAGTAAAAAGTACCCACTTAAGAAAAGAACAGATTCGTAAAATGTATACTTAAGTACAGTTTTGTTGTTATTTTTACTTCTTTATGTTCCACCATTGCATACTGAGCATACAGGTAAAAGTTTTCTGGAGAAATATTATACAGAAACACAAGGAAAATGTGTTCAGTTACACCCTCTTGCCACTAGATGGAGTCTGGTGCTACAACACTGCCTGGACAGAGAGTGAAGTTGGTGGACTCAGTGTTTCTAAAATTAAAGTGTGTTTTTCACTGTGTAATCTTGCCATAATTCCACCCACATGTATAAGGACATGAAAAGCTGTTTAAGTTGCTGACTGTTGAGAAAAAGTAAAGCCAAAAAACTGATTCTGAAATGTGACAAGGAGCCTCTTCATAAACATTTGAAGATTTTACAGACTGAATGATTGCTTGAAGTCTTTACATTGAATGCATTTTTCTGACTATACCCAGGCAGGTTTCTCCTAGTTCTCTATCCAAATGAGTTTTCAGACTATGATAAATCGTTTGCTAATGTGTGCATTGTGAGAACTCTTGTATTGATACTGCGCAGTGACTTCATGCTGGGGATGTTCATGCATCTCTTTTAGTCAAAATTGATTTTCAACAAAAGGGCAAGAGTGACTAACAGAAAAACTGTGAGCTAATGCTAGCTAGTTTGTGACTGTGTTTTTGTGTGAGAGAGACTTGTTTGACAGCAAAAACACCATATGGTCAGATTGTGTTAAAATAAACCACAGATTAAAGTCGAACAAAGCCCAGAGCCTCTAGTTTGCATCACACCCCCAGAGAAAGATGATGACATCAGCTGCAAAGTGTCAATAACTTCTTGTTGGTCCAGTTGGCTAAAAGTAGAGGCCAGCAGACGGACGCCTGTGTCACAACATGATCTGTATGAGCTGATTCAGTGGGGAAGGCCTGGCAGGTTCCCCTGTGATGGCACATTAGGAAATCTCCCATAGCAACTGGGAATGACACTAGTGTTAGTCAGACCCCACCATGTGTCTGATGGCTCCAAAAGGGAGCACAATACCCCTGTCACAGCCCATACTCAGCGGATACCCAACCTGCCACGCTCAGGTGCTCTGTGCTCATGGCTAAACCATCAATATGTAACAGACACAAGGCAGCTGGTGCAAACAGGGAAATCACAGACACTGGTGAATGTTCCTCCATATCGTACATGTCCTACCTTCACACATATGCTATAACATATTAACATATACCATCTGTCACACAGCAGTGTTAAATCACACAGGTTCAGACTGGGACTGTGGAAGCACAGGCATTGGAATAATTTTACTGAAAACATTTATGACTAGAGATCCACTGATATGGGTTTTTCATGGCCGATTGATCCAAATCCAACTGATGACTGATAAGATTTGCTGATTTGCTATTTTTGGGCTGCTATATATGACAGATTTTGATTATTTTCCTCAAATGTAATTTAAATTTACTACAAACCCACCCACAGGCTTTTCAGAGAGCTGCATAGTTACATGTCGTGTTGTGTGTTCAAATAAAGCATTGTGTCTTTTCTTTAGGTAAAACTAAATATCATCCTGTGCTGGAAATTTAAAGCAGCGCAATCTCCTCTAATAATGCGAAACACTGATGCAGTAAAACATATTCCAATACAGTGTGCCATTTTCAAAGACACCAGATAGTGTTTTTATGGAGAGAGCAACAGAGAGATTCATAACATACTACAAAATGTGATTATGTCATACTCCAAGATGAGATACAAGAGCCAGTTTCCCCTGTTGATTAAATTGTACTTTACAACAAAAATCTGCATTATTATAATATTTGTTTTAGCTGCCTCCCATCTGTTTTAAATAATATTGGTCTACAGAATAATGATGATGAACCCAGCATGGCCAAGCTCCCACATGCACCACGGATCTATACCATAGCATCAAAGCTAACGTGATACAGAACACGCCGGTACTTCTGCCAAAGCCCCTAAACCAATAACAAGTAAAGTCAAGTTAAAAAATAAAAATTGTGATTGATCATTACAAACTATTACAGAATTAAAACTGCCATCTGCAAGTTAATTTGATTTTTTTTCTACCAGTAGGCTACATGACAAATGCAAAATCTGTTCCCCCTCCTCTCACTTGTGGTATCTGCTCTTAATTTTTTTTTCCATTTTTCATTTTTGCTTCTCTTTTGTTTGCTAAAGTGTGCATTTTGACACCATGGTAACTGCTGAACATTCCTCCATAATCATTCATGTAGAACTACACCAGCTTGATGTCACTGCAAACTATTAAGGTTTTCATTCTGCACTCTTCTCTTTCATTTAATCTCTCTTGCTTTAATTGTATGTTTTCATTTGTTGGTGTTGTGATTTTAATGTATTTCTTATTCTGTAAAGCACTTTGAATTACTTTGTGTATGAACTGGGCTATACAAATAAACTTGCCTTGCCTTGCTTATTAATTTCTTGTTATTCAGGTAGAAATTTGGGGGCTTGGGGCAAGAAGCCTGACATGGGCCCCCCCACTAACATAAATTAACAGGCAGAGGAGTGCAATTTTCGGCCCCTTAAACCCTGGGGCCCTGGATAACAGACCCGTTTGTCCACCCCTGTTATTATTCAAGGCTTTTCTGCTGAATTAAGACACTTCCCCCCATTCACTCCTCCTTCTGGTCAGCCTCTGTCATGTCTCACCCATCACAGTGAAGTGTGAACTCTCAGAAGTAACAGATTAATGTAATTACTCCCTAATGGTACCAGCTCTCAGTTTTCTTGTCATATCACCCACCACAAATTTGTAGCTTCACTGAAAAATACTACTCACTGGTAAACACACACTCCACTTAAGACCAATGAGAGCAATAGAAAAGCTTATAAACTTGTAACTGCCGCACCTTGTAGGATAAATGTTATTTAGAGACTCGTTAAAATGCTGTGTTCAAAGCCTCTAATAGTACTGCGTGGAAATACAAGTAGGTCATAATATTTTGCTTGGTATGGTAGCTTACATATATTGAGTCTTGACTACCTTGGCTTCACTTCATTAAAGATTAATTAGTAGAAAGATGGATAGATTTTTTTAAGGTCTAATGCAGCCTCTAGATAACAGAGAGTTCCCTGGTCTGGAGTAAAGGGATGTGACAGTATCGATAAATATTGATCGGGGTCAGAGTGGCCACTTACCCGGTGCTGGGGGAGGAGCGTCTCTCTGACACTTGGTACATGCCCCTTGTGCTTCCAGAAAGACTTGAGTTTCTCTGTAAAACATATAAAATTGCACAAAATATATTAGTAAAATCAATCTCAATTTTCCAGCCTTCACATTTGGCAATCAAATATTTAGTTGGTACAAGTGCAAAAAACAATGCACGGCTGTCTTTTAAAGGGCCCCTGCTATTTTTTCTCACTACAGTATGTTATAATGTTGTTTCCTCATCACAAACAGACCTGGTATTTTGTTTTGTTTCATTCACACATGTTTAACACAAAAATCCTGCATATTTAGGCCGAGTTCTTCTGTTAAACAGAAAACACTCTGTTCTACTTTGTGATGTCATGTGGTAACACAGTAAGTGCTCCACTGTGTTTTTAAACTCCATACACCTTCACTAGAATAATTTGGATAATTTCAGCCTTAGAAATGCCAATCTCTACTGAACAAAAGGTAAAAGGAGCTGTTAACTTGAAAACGACAGCTGTATGACACAAGTTGGAACAGAATATTGTGAGCTTTAGAGATGTAGACAAAATAATAATAATAAAGGTTTACTCCAACATGTGTAAATGAAACAAAACACAACTCATGTTTTTGATGAGGCAACATTATAACTCACAGAAGTCAGTTTTGCATAATTTAATAAGTAATCAGAGAAGGAATTTACAAGTGACCCACTTAGCTGTTATCATGGGGATCTTACATATTAAAAAGGTGTTTTGATAACTGAGATATTTGGATAGTGAAGTTATTGCATTACAATAAAAATATTAATGAATAATCATCAAATAAAAGTGTCAATCTCGTCTGATCTCAATGTGCTTAGTACTGGGATAATAACCACTAAGAATACCAGGAGTCACAGTTGGGCAGCAGTGGCTTGTCTGTGGATACTGTTGTTGTGTTCTTAGGCAAAACACTTAACCCACATCGCTGTTAATGTAGTGTGTACGTGAGTAATTGGTGGGACTTATGGCTGCTTTTTTTTATTTTTTGGATAGTCCCTTGAGATGCATCATTTCTGCCTCATTTAATCTTTTCTCAACTTTTAACTTTTCACATTTCAAAAAATTTAATATTTTGATTTAAAGTGATTTAATTTGATTTAATTCCCATCATCATTTTTCATCATTCTGAAACTCAGGGATAAAAGGCTAATGCATTATTAACATTTTCCAAATGTTAAGAGTGCTGGTATTTACAAAAGAATTTCAGAATTGTCTATAAAAAATACAAATAAAATAAAATAAAAAACAAACAAACCATAAATAATAAACATAAAACTACTATAATTTCATCTGAATAATATCACACCGAAAGTTAATTACTCCAGATCATTACAGCAACCCAAATCCAAATAACCTTTTCTAAACAGACACAGGTTGGACTCATCACAGGAGGAAGTCGTGCCCTTTTCTTCTGTCTGTCACTTCCAAAATATCTCCGTGGCAGCAGCGGGCCGTCTCCTAGGAGATGGGTCTGACCTTGATGATGCCATGAGACGGTGTGAGGATCACGTGTCGTCGTGTGACATGCCCGGGCTTCCCTTCACAGTGTAACAAGGTGCCAACCATGTTGTGACTCCACTATTATTCACAGTCTTACCATGTGGCAGTGAGTGATGACTTAATACAAAGGGCATCTAAATAAAGCAGCACTAGAACAGGGCACGAGGTCTGGTCTCCGCTGCACTCTAGCCCATGCATTTCTTATTTTCTTCAGATAGCTTGATATTATTGCTGTCCTTTATTGTGCAAAATTGACTCTTGTGAGCATTAAGTTACAGTAGAAAGTTGTTACCTCCTCAAAAACATACTCAAAGTTGTTTCATTCACACATGTTTAAGTAATTCTTTATTATTAGTCAGTCCACATCTCTAAAACTGTCGTGAAGCAATAGTTTTCAGCAACTTTTTAGCTTTTGTTCAGTAGAGATGGGCAACTCCAGGGCTCATCTATGGAGTTTAAAAACACAGTGGAGCACTTGCTGTATTACCACGTGACATCACAAGGTGGAAAAGAACGTTTGTGCGAAGAACTAACCTAAATATACGAGTCTGTGCGTTAAACATGTGTAAATGAAACAAAACACAACTCCAGGTATGTTTTTCATGAAGAAACATTATACAAGAGATTTAAAAAATAGCGTAATATGGGCCTTTTAAGATGCAGATTTATTTGACAGTAACACTTTTTCAAATTAAGACTCAAAAAGGCAAAGTTTATTAATGATTTTCCATATTAAGCCCAAAATTAGCCTTGATTAAACTTGGTATAGTCTTCACCGAGTTAATGAAGTGAATTAAAGCACATAAATATTTGTTTTTGTTTAGTGATTGTGTGATATATCCGTTCTTAACAACCATATCACATATTACAGTACTTTCCAGTAATGTGCACACTTAATACTGGCCACTCTAAAAATTAAGGAAGTGCGAGAGCTGTAATTATCTGATATAAAATTATGTCAGCGAAAGAGGTTTCCATGGCAGCGCACAGATTAGCGCGGTACAAAAGGTCGCTTGTATCTATAATGGTTGTTTGAATAGGTGAGATTGTATGACAGCATGTGTGGGGAAACATAATGATGCAAAACGCAGAGATAGACACAAAGACAGCCCTAGAAACAAAGAGATTGGTGTACTTCCTGGAGCCCGAGGATGTTTTTTATGCAAATACAGCCTCTGATCAACACGAGATGGACGTCTACTGTGACGTGAGAAGGGAATACTCATGGTTCAAGAGCTACACAAGATAATAAATTATACTTTCTGGCGGGTATTGTAATTGCGATTAGACTTGTGCCAAAGTCGTTCTCTTCGGAGTACACATTGTAAAGATCTCCAGAAGCATTAACGTTTGAGAGAAGACGAAAATATAAATCACAAAACTACTACCAGAATCTCAGGCACTTCAGAACATTTTTGAGATCCAATCTACTGGTACAAGATTTTTCTATAAAAACACACTATATTTTCTTCTCTACAGAGGAAATTCTATTAGCTAAATCAGTCTAGGGGTCCAGAAGCACTTGGTAGGTGGTAATTGGAATGGTTTCATATTTTAAAAGAAGGTGAAATTAAAAAGGGTATGTTTAAAAAAAAAAAATCATAATAATTTATAAGGATTCTAGAAACAAGAAAGAAAAGCAACTATATACTAGTAAACATTATACTCAAGTTAGAGGCTACTTGCATTGTGGGATAAATCTTAGGGGATACTTGAGACTAAAAAGGTTGGGAAACATTGATCTAAATAAATGCAGCCTTTGCGATTGTGTAACTGCACCAGCTTGATTTTGATCTGATTTTAATTAACAGTGTTGCCCTAGTTTGTCATAAGATTTTGATGGGTGTCATTCCAGTGGTCGATGGCAGACTGGAATATTCTCCTGGACAAACTTGCCAACTTTGTTTTGGTGACGTTTCTCTAAATTGTCTCACTTCATACTTCAAGTAGATCACAATCAGTAACGGCAAATGGATATGCTCAGTAATAAAAAAGTGATCCCCAAGGTTCAGTCCTCGGACCATTACTTTTTACTTTACATCTCAGTAATATTTTCTCCCATTCTTTGTATTTTTGTTGTTGTTTTTTTTAGCTCAAGAAGAAATTATAAAATGCATTTGATAAGGTCACAAATAAATCTGAAATTCATCAAAGACTATCCACTTAACTAGAAAACATGAATTCAATCTACAGTCCTTGCTTCACTGGATTATGGTGTCATTATTTAAAGCCATGAAGCACACAGTACTTTAAAAAACCTTGATACGATTTACAGCAGTGCCCTTCATTTTATTACTTTTGACAGTTACTATACTCACCACTGTGATCTGTACTGCAAGGTTGGCTGGACTGGATTCGATATTTAACATTTCAAAGAGCTCATTTTGAATGTTGTTACTTTATCAGAAACATACCTGGAGTTGTGTTTTGTTTCAGTCACACATGTTTGAGTAATCCTTTTTTATTATAGGCTATTTATTTTCAGTTTGATAGAGGAACTCAACCTAAAATATGTAAATGTAAATGAGACAAACCAACTCCAGGTTTGTTTGTGATGAGGAAACAGCATTATAACAGACCAGAAATAGCATAATCTGGGACCTTTAATCATCTATATGACCAATTCTGTGTAATCTAATCTAATCTGTAAAACAACAAGAACTGCTGCAGTGTATCTTGAAGTAAATTTGACACTAAAGTCTATTATAAAGTCGACCCATGGTGCAATGCGGGCACATCACTCAATAAAATCAATGTCTCATACAACATCCAAAAGCAACCAGGAAAAAGACTCTGCACTGTGCATCACTCTTGGTTATTGCAATGTCCTCCTCCAGTATTACAGTGTCCTAAAATTCATCTTGTATTTACCCACAGTCCTGCAGGATGGCCACCTCAATGAAGAAAAACAGGGAACCGTTTTTGAAACATAATATGATTTTTAGTTTTTAATCAATTGTAACACAGAGAGAAAAAGATTAGAAGACCAATATATTAAAATCTTGATTTCTATGGGTGAAAAAATTAAGAGATCATTTGCAAAAAGATATCCCTGTTTTGAAAATTAATTTTTTATTTAATTTTTTTTTCCTGGCATATTGTACAATTATTATGAATAACAGTATAGCTGAGGTGATTTGAGGTGAAGAAGGGATAGAATAATATTGTTATTGCACTAAAATAGACTGTGAACCTCTGACAATATTATTATTATTATTATTTTTTTTTTCAAAGGGCACTTAGATTCAAAACTTAAAACTAGGGGGACAGAGCCTTCTCTGTGGCTGACTCTAAGATCTAAAACACTCTACAGTGAAATCTCATCTTAAGACCCACTTTTACAGTCTGTCTGTCTGTCTGTGAGTTGTGTCTCACACAGTGTTGTGTCATTTATTGAATTTTAAATAATGATTTTATGCTTAAGTAGCTTGATTCATCAGCCGGTTTCACTTCGTGGAAACCATCTGACCTCGGAGCATTAGGATTCGTTTGCTCAAAGGTGGGGGTGTACTTTTTTATTTAACCAATCGCTGCTACTTGGTCGTGACATATGTAAAGTGCTGCTAACGGGGCTAAATGGTATAATAAGCTTTTCCCAAATCCCATAGGAAGAAGGGCAATAACATCTTTCCCCTTGATAAAATTCACCAGTCTCTTTGTTACAGCTTTAAATCCTCAATCTTGGGGATCCTTGCAAACACAGAATGTATGGCTTCCTCTGTATCCATCTCGAACGCTTTGTTTACTGTTGTGCTGTATCACAAAAGGGACCCAGACAGACGCTTGAGTTTGACATCATGGCTTCACAGCTCTTTGCTTATTGGCCAGTGCACGGTCTACAACTTCTGGGGCTCTTGCAAACCATCTAGTGTTGCTGGAGAGAAATTAAATTGAGCGGAGGCACTAGGTGGTGCCAGCCTGGCTAATTTTAATGACTGCTCTTATTTAATTTTACTGGCCTTATTGTTTTAGAACTTGTGAGATTAAGCATTTGAGTATTCAAAAGGAAAATGGTACTTTTTTCCCCACCTTTAAGGCACTCAAAGCACTTTACATCATGGAACTACTCACCCATTTACACACACACATACATCAGTGTACATAGACACTAGGGGCGAGGTAGGTTAAGAGTCTTGCCCAAGGACACAACAACAGCATTCATCTGTGGGATCTGGAATTACACAACCAAACTGTGGGTCAGTGGATTTGACCACTTAACCATTGCTGTTTATGTCGAGAACTGGATTCGAACCACCCACATTCTGATCAGTGGACTGTTATTCAGGGTTTGTTTTTTTATTCATTTTACTTTCCCCTGTGCAGCACTGCATTAACTGTCTGTGTATGAAATGAGCAATACAAATAAAGTGGCTTAGATTGGACTGTACAAACCTGCCGTCCGTTGCCCTTGTTGGCCTGCAGGCTGCAGCGGCCCAGGCTCCCGTTGGGCGTGGTTCCACAGCTGCTGATGATCTGGAGCTGTTTCTCTGCGCGGTCAGCTCGATCCAGGAGCTCCTCGATGAACTGCTGAAGGCGGACTTTGGCTTTGGCTTCGCGCGCTGCCGTCTCCTGGAGAAACTGGTCAATCTGGGCCACCTCCCTGGACACAGATCATAAGCAGAGTGTTGTGTAAGTATAGTTTCAGACATAGAGCAGATGGTGTTGTGCACTCTTAGTATGCAGACACTTAAGTGGACTGACAAAGACATATGAGCTGTTAGAGGAGAGACAAAAGCAATAGAGACAAGGAAGTAGCAGGAATCTGTAGTTGTCTTCTGTCCAACTATAACATATATTTAAAGAAGACCTATTAGGCTTATGTGTTAAGTCCGCTGACTTCTGCCTTAGAAAACTGTGGTGCCCAATGGGAGCTGACATTGCTCTAAACATCATCACAACACAGAATGGTGAAGGTGAGTGAAAACAACTATAACAAGAGCCCTAAACCAGATCTAATCTAAAATATAAATATAATTAAACTCCATCTATGGTTGAGTCAAATATTCTGGAGTAAGGGGGGGTACTCCTGAGGACTTTCTACAACTCTGTGGTGGCATCAGCCATTTTGTACTTGGAGACGGAGAGGAAGAACCTGGACAAGGTCATCAAAAAGTCCAGCGCTATCCTGGGCTATCATCTAGATCAGTGATTCTTAACCATAGGGCCGGTGCCCAAAGTAGGGCTGGGACCACCTCCTTGGGGGGCCCACAATCAGTACAATATAATGCATTTAATATGAGATAGGGCCTCAGGTTACTTTGTTCAGAAAAAGTCGCGCCCCGAGATTGAAAAGATTAAGAACCCCTGTTTTAGACCACGGATCTCCAATCTGTGGTTCGGGAGCTACCAGTAGCTCTCCACCCCTTTCCAAATAGCTCACCAAAGCATTTCTGAATTATATGAGAAATGCTTCATAACTAAACTCTGATTAAATAACATTGTAAATGTGTAATTTTGATGTGCAACTTGTGCACTAATAAATGGAAAATGGTTTATGTTTAATAGACATCTAACTGTACCCTGTCTAAGGCCCGCCATGGCTCTTATATTTTCTCAACTTCTTGCGACTGCTAATATTAGTAGTTCTCTGACATTTTCTTTTCAAAATGGTATCTCACCATAGGTAAAATGTTTGAAGACCCCTGGTCTAGACTCACTACAGGAGGTGGGGGACAGGAGGGTCTTGACTAAACTCACATTTATACTGAACCATAAGTGTCGTCCCCTGAAGGACGCCCTGTCATACTATACAATGAATGCTCGCCAGTACATGTGTCATTCACCTGTAGTATTCATGTACAATACTGAAACAGAGTGTGAGTCATCATCTGTACAATACATTGCACTGTACATAATCAAAGTCAGAGCCACTTACATAACAGTTCTGTACCTACATTCCTTCCTCACTCATCTCTACTCTAGCTGCTTTCTAAACAACACAGCTAGGAGCTCAACAAAGCTGCTAACCTTGACAAAGCCAGAGCAGCGGATGAACAGGGACAGACAAAGAACCATCTGTAACCTTGTGTCCTATAGGTTCAGTGTCCCTCTTATTCTTCACTCTTAAAAGCCTTACATAATTCTGCTTGTATTCAACAGTGAGTGTGAATATTCCTAAAGCAGGCCATTGTGAGATAAAAATAGTTGGGGAGGGTGGCACAGTTAAGTTGCTTCATCATAGGCACAGAATCTAAAAAAGTCATTCCCGTGATGAGGTGTTGGGAGTGAAAAGAAGGCGTGTGTGAAATGTGCTATTGGCTGAGAAAACTGTTTACTTATTACCCAACACTTACTTCTGCTATTAAAGGTTCTATATTGTGCAAAAATTAACTCTTGTGAGCTTTAAGGCATGTTATAATCTTGTTATCTCCTCAAAAACAGACCTGGACTTGTGTTTTGGTTCATTCATGTTTGAGTAACCCTTTATTATTAACCTGTCTACATCTCCAAAGCTCAAGATGCTCTGTTCCACCTTGTGATGTCATGAAGTGGTAGTTTTCAAGTTACCAGCTCAAGGGCGTAGATTTGGTCTCAGCTTTGGTAGGGACATTATCAGCTAACCTCCCCAGAAACAAAACAGAGTCTGGGCAGGTCCAAAAGAAGTGAAATGTGATTTCATTTTTCTGTTCACAAAATGTACAGTTTGTGTCCATTGTCCTTCTAAGATGATTCTTTACCAAATAACAGCGATGTAGAAGTTTATAGCAGATTTCCCTTTGCTTGTTGGTGATGAGATATATGTGAGATCATGTCCAGACATTTTTCCATGGAATATTGTCAGTAGAGTCCGGTTGCTGACAGCGCACATGTAGGGCTTCATTTGGGAGGTGCTCTTGCGGTGATAGTCGCTCTTTTTCTATATTGACTCATTATAAGGCAAGTTTAATTGAAGATGAAGCCAAGTAAGTTCCTTTTTCAAAGTTTTTCAAAGTTTGGTGCAGAGCATCTTCACTCACGCCTGCTCATGCCGCCGTCTTCGGGTGCTGGCCCTGTCCTGTCACTTCCCCAGTTTAGGCTCCTGGCCCCAATAATGACATCCCTCTGTTGCTCACTGAATACATCTCAGAACGTCTAATAAAAAAAACGTGAACTAAAACGTGTTGAAGTTTGGAAAAATATCGGAATAAATTTATATTTTTATTTATTAAAATAAAATGGCAAATATTGGTAGACACTATTTTGTCTTCCCCAAATATTGATTGCGACATGTCCCCAGTGAGATCGGCAATTTTAGGTCTGAAATCATCCAAATGATTCCAGTGAAGGTGTATTGAGTTTAAAAACATAGTTGAGTACTTCCTGTAGTTGGAAAAGAGTGTTTTCTGTTTGAGAGAAAAGATCTCAGCCTAAATATGCAGGATTTGTGTGTTAAACATGAATGAATGACACAAAACAATCCAAAAACTCTGTATTATAACACAGATCAGAAAATAGCGTAATATGGGCCTTTTTAAAATAACAAAGTAAGTCTGACTATAAAAATAGGGATCGTTTGTGAATACCACCAAAAGTGTCTCAAGTTTTTCATGACAGGAATAAAAGTTCTAACAAAAAAACCACTTGCTTGTTCCCATGGTGATAGTATCTCATTGCCTGAAATGTGCCGCAGTATGCCATTAAAATCTGTCTTGCATTTATTCAATTACAGTTGTTTTATAGCTGTGTAAAAATTAAACTGGGAGTTGCTAAACTTCTTGAAGATGGATAACTGTAATACCAGACACTGCAGGAAAGGCAATAACATCTCCATGGAGACAAGCCAGCGCCGAACCCTCCATCAGAAAAGTCCCACAGCACATCTTTAACTCAACTGCACTTGCCAATCTGCATTTACATATGTCCAGGCTGAACACATTTGCAAAACCTACTGATACCTGCAGTGACACAATCTTGGGGGTGTTCTACATGTATCTCCATTGGTGGAATGTTTAGGAGTTACCATGGGGACACAATGTGCACATGAGTAAACACTGTCAAAACATTTTTAAGATTCCTGAAAACACAAAATGCCGCAAAGTAATAATGCTGCATTCCCAACTATTTCTGTAAAATCGCCACCTCGAGTAAAAATTTATTTGATGTAAAGATCTGTCCTCTGTGATCTATAATGAAAACGTAAGGGGACAAGTCACCTCCATTATTCAAGTTAATAAGTAACAACAGCTGATATACGACACGTCACCACCAACACCAGTGACAGTTCTGAAGATGGCTTGCAGCTAGCAGCCGAAACATGTCAACAAGGTAAATACACTTTACTGCATTGTCTTTAAAAAGAACCAAAGAAGTTAAAGTATATAAGAAGACAAAATGAACATCATTGGCTTAATAATAAGTGACTGAGCGCGGTGCGGTTCATACAGCTGCAAACTCTACATTTTCCTGGCACTTTGTATGTGCGGGCTTATGCAGTAGTAGACAGCACATAAATTGCAGTGGTGTAGATTGTTTTTCTCTGGGATTAAAGGAAGAAATCCACTGATGCAGCGGACAGCCTCGCCCTAACTGCTCATCAAAAACTCGCTTTTTGGTGTAGAACAAAAGTGAAAAAAGAGAAAGAAGAGAAAACACACCGTATAAGCCACAGATACAGATCAGGGGCAGAGTTGTGAGTCTTTGACTCTACATTGTGTTATACAATCCACAAGGACTTGATTGTCTCTTTCTTTAATTAGAATTTAAATGATTTGTACAATAACCTGTACAGGGAGTGCTGCAAACTTGTTCACCACATATTAAAGACCTATAGTTTGCATTTTTCCATTAGATTTTGAATATGAAAAAAGAAGGAATCCTCTTACACAAAAGACCATTGTGTGGCATCATCACAACAAAGAGCTGTGCAGCTGCTGGAACCTCTGATGATAGCTACAGATCACACTAGTGAATTTTTTTCATTTGTACCAAAATGATATGCAATGCTGCAGAATCCTAAGTACAGAGCTGTGGGCGTATGCCAGTGGCAGTGAAAATAGTTGATGGCAGTATAGTGTCTTGAAAATTTAAGATTGCTCAAATGCGCTCAAATCACTCCAAATACAACTTCGGGTGAATAAATGGTGAGGGGAAACAACTATAACATGGTTAAAAGCTCTAAAAAGTCTGATTTGCACATTAAAACACATAAAACACATTAAAACACACTAGTCAATGTTATGCTTGCAGGTCACAATTACGAACTTAGACCATGAGCTAGTATAAAATGAGCAACAATCATATCTAACCATGTTTAAAACTGTCAGAACTCCAAATGCCACCTCATGTTTGTAGTCACTGTATAATTAATGGACGTAGTGTGTTCTTTTTCCTGTCATGACCAACAGTCACATACAACGCTGTATGAGGTGTGGTTAATAAGACAAGCCCATGTGAGTGACTGGGTTTAAATGTTAATTAAAACCACTGGCCAACCTCCTATCACATTAATTCACAATGGAGCCATATTAATATTAACTAGGGACAGTGATTGACTGAAATGGGCAGATGGAAGTTGAAGCCTTTTCTTGCAAATCCCCATTTTGAGTGGAATAAGTGAGCAGGTGTCTTACTTGGTTCTCATCTGACACCTGCATTGTGAATAGTGTTGGTTTTATTTTCAGTCTGACCACATTGTGTGATCAGCAGGCCTTGGATTTACTGTGTGAAGCTCTATGGCAACAAGGGATCTGTGATGGACGAGGATAAAAGGATGTGGAAACTGGACTGATAAAAGACTCACAGTAAACGGACAGCTCTTAAAAAAAAAAAAAAAAAAAAAAATATGTAGCAGGTTTTCCTAGTAAAAAAAAAAAAGTGTGAGCTTTCTGCAATCTGGTGAAACGGGATTGTTAAAAACACTACAAGAGACCACTTATCAGTAAAATGTACAATTTGTAAAAACAATGCGTAAATCACCACAGTTATGATGAACTCACTGCAAATAACAAAATGGGCTGTCTTCTACTGATCTGCCAAGATGTTCTGGAAAGCCTGAGATTCCTGTATTAGTTTAGCAGGTCATATTTCAGTCTGCTCTGAAATGTTAATGCGCTGAAATGTGTTCAAAAGGTGCAGCGTGAAACTAGTTTTAAAGCTCCATTATGTAACATTTTCTTTCATTTGGGTTGCCAGTTCCAATGTCTAAAATGTCTAAAATGTCTTTGTTAAAACCTAAAAGTACTTTGATACGAACTAGACCCCAGCAACTCCAGAAAATCATGAATGAGTACTAGTGCAGCCTCTGCAGCTCAGAGTGAATTCTGGAGGCTCTGAGCTTGTGGAGTTAATGTGATTAACTGAGATTCAGGAGCTGGACCACGTCTCAACCTCCTCTCCAGCCAACCACGGCTTATCTCAACCACGCCTTCAATTACCCAGAAGCCCTATTTATACGACCATCACGACATCACCGCCTGTGTCATCTCTCGACCCCTTCCCTCCCACCCCGTGTCTCTTGTACATCCTTCTGTCTGAGGACATCATCTTTAAGGAGGGGGAGTTCCAAATTAGCTGGGTGACCATTCTGGATTGAAGACGGAGCTCCCACCCTGACTTTCCCCCCAGCCATCACATCTGTCCACTGTCAATAAACATCTTATCATATTCCATTGTTGTGGCGTGGTCCTTTGTAGTGAATCACATGCAGCGTGGCCTGTCCATAAACTGAGAATGAAGAAAAAAAAAAAAAGTGTCTTCTACATACATGTTAAGGCAATGGCAACCCTGGTTCAATTGTGATTGTACTCAATTTTCAACTCAGCAAGAGGAGTCTACATACCCTACTCTTAAATTATAAACTGCTAATTTAATTGAAAATGCAATGTCTGATCTTTTTTTTTTTTTACTACAGAGCATTTTGTCTTAGTTATAATCATATCATTATTGGTGTAGATCAATAAAACCTGAAACTGCTCTGTTACTCAAGGGCACACGGGCACTCTCCTCTCTCCCGTGGCAGCTACACCCTTGAAGCTGATAAATCCAGCTCAAAGTGAGAGCTAACATTCAGAGCCTCACACACTTCAGTCAGGTTTACATTATCATTATAGAGGGGAATAAGGGCTTAAGCCCCAATGTGCCTGATGTGTAAAATACAGTTGGAGAGCACTATAGGTGCAATCAATGCAATAAAAAAAAAGTAGAATTTATCATGTAGTTACACATATTTTTTTACTGTTACACATATTCTAAAATATATTGCAACTTCCGTCCGACCTAATTGTGCCAGTTTTTAGGTTTTACTTCCTGGTTGGAAACCATGACATCACACTAGGGAAATCCATAACTGTTACCTAGCAACCATGCTGTACACTGGACCAACACAGAGATTATGATCTGACCAATAAAAACACCTTTTTTGTTGAAATTACATTTAAAGTATCAGAAAAATGTGTTTCTTGTGTAAACTGTGCCAAACTTTTGCTTTGTTCCACCTTGTAATGTCATGTAGAGGCAGTTTTCAAGTTAACGGCTATTTCCTTTTGCCTTTAGTTGAGCAGAAAGTGTAGATTCCAGGGCGGAAATGAGCCTAGAGAAGGTGTATCAAGTTTAAAAACACAGTAGAGCTTGTTCTGTATTACCACATGACATCTCAATGTGGAACAGAGTGTTGGAGAGAAGGACTAAAGCCTAAATATGCATGAATATGTGTGTGTTAAACGTGTGTGAATGAAACAAAACTGATGAGGTAACAGCATTATAACACAGATCAGGAAACAGCACAACATGGGCCCTTTAAATACAAGAATCCAATAGAGAATCAGTGGAATAGATACATCAGGTGCATACTTAATGGAAAAATGTACACAATAGTCTAATATACAATCCAAACTGCTCCTTCACTTGGATCAGTGGTCACATAGCTGCTTTGATTCCATTTCATTAGAGAGGCCTCTGAGGGCTCTACTTGAGATCCATCCTCCTCTTCTCTCTCAGGCTCAGGCCTTAATGAGCAGGGCTGGTTCTGATCTGACAGCATCACTTTACATTCCAGATCGCTGCTCACTAAAACTGTGACAGCCATACAAAGCCTGGGGGTGCCTTCAGAGCCTCATGTTCGTACTGCTACAAAGAGTCTGAGCTTCTTCGTACAGCTCCTGCCTGTGGGAAGGATGAGGCCTTAGGAGAGACCTGCTGCAGAGCCATACTGTATCTGTATGTGAGCAGAATATAAGATGAGCTCTGACAGGTGGTGCCTTTAAGCTCCATTTAAAAGAACAGGTGCATCATGGACCACATCTGCACATTTGTGGATAATAATGGAGCCGGTACTTAGAATTAACAGTTACCGCGTGTTAATCATACAGAATGCATAAATTAAATACAATAAAAACAACTGTAATCTGATTGTATTGTTAATGTAAGCAGTTATTATAATGTGGGGTAATTAATGCTTGAGTTTCAATGGCTGAGTAGAGTTTAGTTGTGGCATGTAAAATATTGAATTCCAGCCTGTATGTGTATATGTGTATATGTGTATATCTGTTTATATGTGTATATATGTATATCTGTTTATGTGTATATGTGTAACACAGTAAAAATCATTGCACCATTCTTGGTGAGTCCTCGGGCTCCTGTTTGTGCTGAGCACTGCTGCTCTGGTTCACTCCAGCAGCTGCTGTTGAACCACTTTACAGCCCTGCTTCAGGGACACTCCAATTTACTGTTTACTGACACATTTTTGTGGGATTATGTACACCATTATATGTCCTGCTCTAACAGTGAGTGTGTGTGTCCATGGAACCACTACACTGCTCCTACAAAACTACAAACTACTGACTGATGGCAGCACGTCTTTGTGAGCTGCGTTCTGTCTGTAGAGCCTCGTCATCGGCTGCAGACATTCACTTAAAGTGATGGTCTTTTTCCACCTCTCAGCTCCTGGTTTTCCTGCCTCTGAATGAGCCTTCTGTTTAAGAGCCAGTCTCTCCTCAGAGACAGAGAGAATAAACTGTGAAAGGGAGAGGGGCACAGAGCCACAGACTCAGCGGGCTGTGCCTTCAGGACGGTGACCTCCAACTTCCATTTGCACTCATTGGTATTCAGACAGAAAACAAAACAAGCTTATTTCATGTAGACCTGCATTCTGCATGGTAACACAAGACTATGCAAGTGAAGTAATACTGGCATTCAATTAGAACTAAACACACATTAAGATGTAACTCTGGATTTGTGCAATTCAAACAGATCAATTGACTTTATTAAGCATTTTTTTTAGGTTGAGGTTGAGGTTGAACTGACAACAGATTAATAATAATAATAATACATCATCTTTACAAACAATAGGAAACAGCAAATGATGGTGGAAATCCAGGAAGGATGCCAGATTGAACAGGAGAATTTTTAGAAGTGATCTGAAGTGCTGTAATGAGTCTGAGTCTCTGATAGGTTGTGAGATTGAATTTGAGTGAAATTGTATAAATGAATCAAAATGTATCATGACTAGATGCCTTATAATAACAGAATAACAGACTGACAGACCTGCTGACAGGTCCGAGTACACTTACTGCTGTTTGTGTGTGAGCTCGGTTTCTTTGCTGACCAGGTCCTGCTTCAGGTTGGCCAACATCTCCACAGACACGTCTACCTGGCGCGACAGCTCTGTGGCCTTATCCTCCAGGTCCTGTTTCTCCTGGCTCAGACGCTCGCTCTCCTGCTTCGCCCTCTCCAGCTCTGAGCTCTTCCGCTCCAGCTCAGCCTGCAGCCGCCCCACACGAGCTGCTATTTTCTGCTCCACCTGAGAAACACAAACCAATTGGTTGGTTAGGATCCACTTCACTGATATAAAGGTAGGAACACACAAAGTAGCAATGATAGTAATACTATTTTGTATCCCACAGTAACACTAGAATGCTTTTATAAAATATATGTAATGGAATCTGTGATCAATAGCTAATGGAAGACAACTAATTGTCAGATTTTAAAAAGTAGGACTGAGGTTGTGTAAACACCTTCCAGTACCTGTATTTAAGGATACATTTATGCAAAGATCTACCTAAGGCATTTACTGAGTGTGTCAGAGTCTAAACTGTGATTACCTCTTCAGACAGTTTCTCCAGCCTTTCGTCCAGTTCCAGTCGCTCAAAGGCTCGTGCTTTCAGCCTGGCCAGCCCCTCTTCATAGGCAGCCTCCACTGCACTGGCCGCCACATTAGCAGCTACTGCCACAGCTGTGCTGGGGTTACCATGAGGACCTGGGTCTGTGGATGCCATGGCTTGCTTCATGAAAATCTCCCCCAGAGGAAACTCCACATTGGGTATGTAGCGAGTTGAGCTGTTGGAGTGAGCAGGAGTCAGACTGAGCTCATCTGCACAGGGAAGTTCACGACAGGGGAAGTGCCTCTCCTTCAATGCTGAGGGCCGCAGGGGCTCAAAAGAGTCGTTGTTGTTTGGAGTGATGAGTGCTCCTTCAGCCACTAGGGGCAGCAGAGCAGCAGCGTCACACACACTGTTGGACTTGGACAGGACGTACAGGGTCTCGTAGGTGTGGTTATACTCCAGGTGAGCGCGGAGGGACGACAGGCTTCGGAAGCGTTTGTGCTCCCCGCAGCGAGGACAGCGGTAGGGCAGGTCCAAAGAGGCCATTACGTGCAGTAATGACCAAAGAAGAGAGGGGGCGCTCACGCACTGTAACGGTAGCGCCAATATAAGGGCCAGAGGGTCGAGTGCCACTCAGGTCTGCTCATGGTGAAATCAGGACTTCAGCAAATCATCAGAAGAAGAAATCCCATGAGTCCACCTCAGTCAAACAACCACATCAAGTGGCAAAGGTTAAGGGTCATTTTGGGTCACACGGCCAAGGTCCTGAAACAGAACACAGAAGAGTTACCACAGAGTCCATTTTCTCAACACAATGTCTATTACTTTGTCTAGACAGGGCTCATGAGGAAAAAATTATGCCTCCATACACAACCTCACACTGACAACAAATTATTACATAAAGTAATTTTTAAAAACTCACATAACGGTAAGAAACACAGCAAAGGAACTGTCAGACTTTCACTGTAAAAAATATCCATTGGTTCTATTAAAATTAAAAAGAGTGAAACAGCCTAGTCATTTAAGTAGACATATTGATCCATAGGTTCAGTGGTCTGGGAACATGAACACTATGAATATCTAAAGGTGAAGACGCAGAGTCTGCTAAAACCTGGACAGTCGATTACAGCAGGCCTGAGGTGGTTATGTGGACACAGGATCCATTAGTGAAAGTGCTCTGAGCTCCAAGTGGAGAAGCCCAGGATCATTCTGGACACTGCTCATAATCCTTCACAGGACAATCTGTAACTCTGCTCCTATAAAACAAATGCTGCTGTAGCGTGAGCTGGGACTAACTAAGACAAACGAGATTTACATTTTGGTCCTAAAACTGAATAACAGGAGCGAATGGTTACGAGGATAGTGACAGAGTAATCACAAACCGCTGGTACAGACTGTTGTTTGTGTAAAGGCTGGAGAGCTAATGCTGGGAATCCCTAGAAGCCACTGGGCTGTTATTAACAGTCTGCTTGGACGGAGAATGCTGGCAGGTTGAGCCCACTTATTAAAGGAGGAGGATAGTGCAGGCTCAGTCTGCACACTGCAGACAGCAGGGCCTTCCATCTGCCTAAGTGAGACATTTAACCCGTCAGACTCAGGAAGTGGATTTAAAGGAGAGTGCTACCAAGTCACAAGTCACATCCCGCTCTGAAGCTCAGCTGAGGTATTTGTCCGAACAGCTCTACCGGTAAAAATTAATTTCCTGGAGGAAGCTAAAGGACACATTATATTCTGAAGATAATTTATGCATAGGGCCTACTAAACAAAACCACAAAAACATTTCTGTCCCTTTATTCTAAGAGTTAATTCTGACAGACAGCTATATGACTGGATTATTGATTCAGGTTTTGATGAAATGTAGTGTCCACTTCACTGATAGCATGTGATGTAAACAGTGGATTCCACTGTCACAACCACTGATATCTCCATGAGCTGACAAGAACATAAAATAATCCATAGTTAAAGTCAGTCTCTCAATCGGAAAATGATCAGCTGTCCTGTAGGGTTGAACAATTACCAACAATTACACTACCAGCTCAAGGAAAAACAGTCCATATGAAATCTGCTGATGGCAGATATTGTTTCCCTTAAAAAGATAATACTGTAAAAATGACATTATATTCCTAATAGGGAGGTTGTTTATCAAAACAAAATCTCAAGAGAGGCTTGATGAGTGGACATTTGTCTACGCAGTTTAGATATAAATTCCAAAAAAAACAGTGGCCATTTTAAATGATCATTATTTGTGCTAACTAAAATGATGAACAAGAATAGCTCAGGGGCACAGAGAGGAGTGAGTCAAGGTGCGTTTACGCCTTCACACTGGAGCAGAATCAGCCTGAATCTGGCATCACTGAACTCAAACAGACATGTAGCATTAGTATTAGCACATAGCATCTTGGAGGAGGCAGCACAGAGCTGGAGGTGTGACACGAGCTGCAGCCCACAGGGAGCTGCTGAGAGGCCTTCACAACACTGTTTGCTCTATTATACATTAGTTATATTACAGTTACAACAACACAAAACTGTGTATTCGCTTAGGGCAACAAAACTAGCTAAATACAACAAATGACATAGATCAGATGGTTACTCACACCATTGTGTTCCACTGAGTTTGGCTGAGGGAAACCAGAGTCCCTTCACAAACTGTGGGAGCACATGCAAACTCAGAACAGCCTCTTTCAGGAATCGATCCAGGACTTTTGCTGACAGGGGAGAGTGCCAGCCTCAGCTATCACATCAATAGTGCTCTTTTCTGTTTCGTTTGTTCCATGTGGAGAGGCTGAGTAATTTCACACATTATGCAGAACCATAGGACAAGTCAATATAAAAACTGATTTTTGCAGATAACACGACAAATTTGACCATAGAATTTGGACCTGTTCTACACTTGAAATTACGGATTTCCATCACATGGCTTCATCCTGTTTTGAGCTCTAAGACTTGTGATCACTGAATGGCGTTTGTAGTTCCTCATCCACCAAGACATGGCCAGTATAGTCCACATTTGTGCATCTTGTGTGCTACACATATTATCGTATTCTTATTATTATATATATATTTTTTTGTTATTTTTTTATTTACATATGGTATCCACTGTCTTGCACGTGCTAATAATGTAAATTTAATAATGCATTAGTTTTATACAGAGCATTTCTGGTCACTCACAGATGCTTTACAGAGCATTATTCATTCACTCCATACCCAGTGGAGATGGTGTTGGTTAATTTAATATTTGGAAGCCTTGAGATCAACAATGAAGCAACCCATGTGAACAAGAATACTTAGTTTTTAAGATCCTCATGTCTTTCTGTGGTCACATGTTCATCTTTTTGTGGTCACATGTCACTGAGTGTTATCCTGAAAAAGCAGAGGTATAGGTCCGTGACAGGACAATCTCACATCCTCCTGGAGACGGACACGCTCCAGTGACAGCAAAGGGCAAACTTAACCAGGCATGCTCACTTGTCATTGCACTGAGGTAAGACAACACTCAGAGATTAGTGTCAATTCCAAATAGCGATGTAATATCTAAAAAATATTACGAGGAAGGACGCAGGAATGACAAAATGCAAATCTACATTTTCATATTTTATGACACAGTACCGGGGAGCCCTTGAAGTAGTATTAGTATTCCACACAGTGAGAATGGGAGAAGGACGGAGTCGTGAGGTGGCGTTTCAAAGCAGGACAGGCTATGTGATCTGATGGACATGGCCGACCCGTAGCTCCACTGTCTACTATTGATCCAGATGGCTACCCATGGCTGCAATTACCCATCAGTATACACAGATCAACACGGCTGGTCCCAGGAGGCAAGACGAAAATCTACACACAAATTTAGAAGTGTGATATATTGATGAAGAAATATTGTGACAAATTTATCCCACTGACACGATAACTCCAGAGCAAATTTAAGCCACAAAAACTATTCTAAATGTACAATATTGTTTAAAAAAAACATGAGCTGCAATAAATAAACAGCTGAATTAAAGGTTCATTGTGTAAATTTTCTGGTGGCGGTTCCGTCAAATGCTTTTCTACAGAGAGATGTTATTGCTTTGTCTGGAGTGTTTCACATTTCTATCTTCAGGGAACCCAAACCAGACCAAGTTACAGGTCAGATCTGTGGAGAGAAAACCCCGCTCACAGTCAGAATGCCTGTTTTTCTAGTTATTTTTGAGCTATAAAACCACCTGTAATTGAATAAATGTAAGTTAGAGCTCTTTAATGTCATACTGTGGAACATTCCAGGTAGAGCAATAATGTATCCATAGAAACAGCCACTAAAAAAAACACTAAAAAAGTTACACAATGCACCTTGAACACTTTAGTACTTAGTTTGCATCTGTAATGAATCATAGAAGTTATTGATTCAACCTTTTACGGATTAAATCTTATCATAAAGCCAAAAAATAACAAAACATTTAGTAATGCAAAGAAAATGTAGATAGGATAAATATTGACCTTCAAAAATATTGTTCCAGCTTTCCTAAATTGAACAAGTTGATATGGTTATTATCGTGACAGGCCTATTTCAGCTCAACTCAGAAACCACTGGAGAAAAAAACTGTACTTTGCTGCTGAATTGTTGACTTTATAATCAAAATACACACACACACACACAATACACCACTCAGCAAAACACAAAATTAATCAGTGCCTTGAATTAACTTTGTGTTTTGCCAAAGAAAGTAATGTTATTTGTTAGAAATGAATTAAAGCAGTTGGTGGCTTGGTGGGGGTGGGCGTCATGCCAAAAAATAATAAGATTTTCTAGAGCCAAGATCCCGATTTAGATTTGAGTTCAGCTTTATACTTATATCTTTAAGCGGTATCTGTTCACTTCTTGTGGTGGTTCACACTTCAATGTGATTGGTTAAATCAGCCTGTCACTGACTTAGAGCGTGGAAGAGGCTGACCAAGGAGGAGAGTTTGGATTTTATCACAAAGCAGCATTCATTTGTCAAAATAGTACCCCCCAAAATAGCAGATTGGTGTATGATAATAAATCCCAACATTATATAACACATTTATACACAAAAGGTTTGTTTTATTTATGGTACCAGGATTTGGTAACATGGTTTAAAGGGCCCATATTATGCTATTTTCTAATGTTTTAATGTTGTGTCCTCATTCGAAACATACCTAGAGATTTGTTTTGTTTCATTTACACGTTTAACACACAAATCCTGCATATTAAGGCTGAATTATTCTCTCAAACAGAAAATAGTCTGTTCCACATTGTGATGTCATGTGGTGGTAATACAAGTAGTACTCCACTGTGTTTTTAAACTCCATACACCTCCACTAGAATCATCTGGATGATTTCAGCCCTGGTAATGCCAGTCTCTACTGAACTAAAGGTAAAAGGTGATGTTAACATGAAACTACATGACATCACAAGGTGGAACAGAGCATTTTGAGCTTTGGAGATATAGACAGACTAATAAACAAACTTGTGTGAATGAAACAAAACACAACTCCAGGTAAAGTTTTGATGAAGTAATAACATTATAACATAGCTTAAATCTCACAGGAGTCAA